CCATATATAACCCTTATATATTCATTATATAACCCCTATATCCCTAGGTACTCCCCATATTAACCCCCATAAGCTACAAGGGTCCCTATTAGGGGTCCCTCCTAAAGTCCTTGGAGAGTTGTAGTGTAGGACACAGATGGTTACAACTGGGTTTGACCTTTGGGATACATATAACCCCTGTTATAACAATGTTCATTGTTGCCCGGCCTACATTGCCACCGAGAAGCCATGTTGAACATCCAACAGCTCAACTTACTCATTTTTCTGAGCGCCACGCTGTTGGTAGCGAGGATCCGATTGATGGCTGTCTGAACCTGCGATGCGTCTGCCTAAACCCTAGACCCTAAACCGATAACCCTAAGCCCCAGAACCCAAGGGTGTAACAGGAACGAGACTACAAATTGCAGCATGGTCGGTGCTTCAAGGTTTCCCTTACCTAGGTCCGCTTGGCTGAAACACAGGAATTTTAATGTCGTTGCTCTTTGTGGTTTCATTGAGCAGAGCGAGACAACACAAGTAAAATGACCTGCTTGGCTTCAGTCGTCCCAAGAAAGGGATTCAGTGTTTACCATCCAGAATATGAAGCATCTTACACATAATCCCCCTACAATCTCGAATCATCCCCCTAAAATCCCCTTGTAACTCCTCTATAATCCCCCTTGAACCCCTATAATAAGTACATAACTTACTTGATGTTGGGTAGCTACTGGTGTCCTCCATTGGCCCCCTCGATTTGGGTTGATTAGTTAATTGCTTCGGGCTCAAAGAGGACCCTTCAGCTCTGCGAAACTCAACCCAAGCCTTCAAGCCCTCAAAGCTGAGACGGGGTTATAGGGGGGCTATAGAGGGATTGCAGGGGGACTTTAAGGGGATGATAAAGGGACTATGATAGACTATAAGGGCATTATAACAGGGGATTATAGGGGGATAGTACCCCAATCGTGGAGAANNGGAGAATGAAATGGAAAAGACAATGGAAAACAACATGGAGACTGGGGTTCTGTAGTGGTTCTGAAAGGTTCTGGTGATTCTAGTGCTTGGGACTACTACAGGGGCCTAAATAATTACCAATATCATTTTGACGTCCATTTGAGGTGCCATATATACTATAACTATGCAAGGAATATGGAACCATAATATTGGTAATTATTTCGGTCCCTATATATACAGAAGTGGATGCTTTTTTGAATCATCGGAAAGACAAACCGAAGCGCAGTCTAGCTGATGCACAAACACCTTACAAGTTCGGGTTGTCAGGCTCAGTTGTCTGAAGAAAGCCGCCAGCCCAGATGAGCTATAGTCTAAACTCCGAGTATCTTTCTTCATAACCAGTATAGTAATCCATCCCCTATATAACCCCTTTAGGGAGTTGAGATTATAGCCCATATAAAGACGCGTAGGGCTCGAGTTCTTTGTGGTCGGCCCTGCCCTCCGACCTCTCAAGCCCCTTAGCCTCCCTAAGCCCTAGGGCTTAAGCTTTGTAGGGCTTAGGGATTATGCTGGGGGGTCATATTGGGATAACAGAAAATACAAAGGAAACCACCATGTGGGGTTTAGGGTTTAGGGCTTGGCTAAAGCTCCGATTGTCAGGGTCACTTTTGGACGCGTTCTTAACAAAAAGATCAGGGAGATGCTATCTCTGGTATTGAACTGGTACTTTCCATAAATAGCAGGACCCCAACGAAAACCTCCAAATACTAGATTCTTTACTAAAACCTAAACCCGAAATTAATACAGAACGGAAAGGCCTGGCACAACACTGCTGAGGCTGATTATTCAAACTCCTGCCAGAAACACGACTGATACGACTACTGTTTCTACGATCAGTATAGATTATAGCCAGTAAGTACTATTATGACGGCCAAATCTACCGACTAATATCTTAAATATTCCGTCTTAATTTCTGCAAAGAACCCAGGAAACATAGGAATACTACGACGGTATTAGCTACTACTACTACTACTACTACTACTACTACTAGCCGCCCCCCCCCTACCAACTATGTTTGCTTAAATTGCCAATATAAATATGGGGGAGGCGGCATTAGAAAACAGTAAGCAACATGACAACGAAGTGCTTTCCACGCAGGGTGCTGGTTAGTTCTCGAAGGC